AGATGGAAAGAGGGCAGCCTTTAATGCATAAGATGAAAGAACTGGCAAGAAGTAGAACAACTGACTGTTCGAGTGCAGCTATGAAATTTAGAGCTTTACCTTAACTTTGCCAGTCTTGGGGAGCAAATTTCAGTTTAATTTATTTAAGTGAAGGAAATGACGATGACAAGACTGGGAGCACTATGTAGTAAAATTAGCCTGTAGAGTATTACCTGTATGCTCTCTTATTTTTGGCTGTCAAAAACGTCTTGGTATACTTAAGATGTGAATGTGCTGTATAACAGTTTTGAAGTGTATTTTCAAAAGTAATGTATCTGCATATTTAACATACACTGCTAATGAGAGAACAAATGTCATTATTCCAATGCACAGTGAAGTAGTACTGAAGACACAGTTTGCACATGGAGTGTAATTCCCCTTAGACTAAATTTCAGAATGAAAAAAATGCAAATAAATGCCTCTTCCAAAGTTAGAGTGTACACTAGATGGCAGTAGAATCAAATGATAGCTGTAATTCTTTATTTTTCTGAATCTGCGCAGACTAAGCTTTAAAAATAAAAAGAGATTACTCTAACTCAGTTAAACTGGTTCAATACAAAGAAGTTGAAAATAATTTTGTTTATACCAAAATAATTTTATACATTATTCTAAAACATACTTTTATTTCACAAAACATTTTTTGCATTAGATTTTAATTCCAAATTCTTGAAATGTCATATAGTAACATATAATAGAATTTAAAATAGATTTTTGGAAGTAGTTTAATCTAGGCATAGTATTTAATTGCATTGTTTTTCTAGGATAGTTTAAAGCAATTTATATTCCACTGATTTTTGCTGTCAGTTATTCTGTAAATATATTTTTTAAACAAATTAAATATTTACAAGCTGGGTGATCCTTAGCAGTATCAGTGCATTTTCCTGTTAGGTACCGCAGGCTTTTATTTTCATGTTTGTGTGTACAGCATGGAAATCATTCTTGAATTGTGCAGAAGTTTAAAATATTTTAAATCAAATATTTGGTCTCTTAACTGATTCAACGTTAATTTTATGTGCTCTTTAATTTGTAAACTGAAAGGCTGTACAGGAACCAAATACTTATTAATTCTCACCATGTACTGTCAGAAAATAGCAGGTCTTGGCTTTAAAGTTGATCAACAAGCTCTGTTGAGATCCGAGAAGGACTAACAGCTGCTTTAAGATCTTGTCATGTTGCTGATTTTGTGATATTTCTTATTGCTTCTTGTTTCTGTGCATCATTTCTATTCACAGGAAAATGCTGGTTATTAGCTTTTCAAAAATGAAACTTCTGTATGAATAAGCAGCAAATTTGAAGTTTCTGTTTAATTCTAGGTTTTATTGACAATGTTTCTTTTTTACTGGATAGAATTTCAACTTCAGTTTTGAAGCTTAATCTAACTTTTGCCTTTTAATGTTAATTTGTCCTTAAAATGGTCTTTGTTTTTTTCAAGCAAGAAGTTAATATACTCCTTTCAGAAGCATAATCTTTGCAGTTGATATGAGACTAAGTTTTTCCTGCTGCAACTTCTTGCTGTGGTTGATTTACAGTGTAAAGAATTGGACTCATTCATTTTAATTTTTCCTCACTAACTACTACAGGGGAGTAGCACCAGGGAAAAAAAAGAACCAAACATGCAAATTTCTACTTCTGCAAATGAAAATTGCTTCTGTTATCCCCTTAAAAGTTGAAATTTCTGGGGTTTGTGCTGTTTTTAAATAAAATTTTCACACCGAGTGATAATTGTTTGAGAGGAAGTTAAAGTAAGTTGGGTTTTTTCTTTAGATTATTGATGTCAGTACATGTGTGACTGTAGGTCTATATTCACTTGAGAAGTTTGCAGTGCTCCTTTTCCTCCAGAATATTTACTGGTTTTCTTAGTAGTTCTAATTTGTCATAATACTGTTTTCAGCACATTGTGTGTTACTGTAGCATGTTGCTGAATTTGTTTGGATTTATTTGCTTGGTTTTTCAAGAGGTAATGCAGGTTATAGCACTATGGATTTCTGCGACCATTCCAGGGGACAAGATCTTTAAATGTTTTTCTTCAGATGCACTTTTTTTGTAACAATTCAAGCGATTGAAGAAGAGATTGCCACCAGCACTGGGCAGCGATGTTCAGTGCCTGGGACAGAACTTGCACAGTTGACGAGCTGGTTGGATATATGACTGGGTCAGGCATGTGGCTGACATATTTTAAAAGATAAACCATCTTTTTTAATGGTGAAAAAATGTAAATGTTCTTTCACAGAACGCTAAAAAAAGTGTGACTCTGGGGTATGCAGTCTGCATCGTACAACAACAGATAAGTCATAGGTTTTCCTTACCTAGGTACAGCAGCTGATGCTTTTTCAGCCTTAGGGAGCAACCAGGAGTATGATTTGTGTGTCCACGTGGACACACTGTGCAGAATATGAAATGTGCATTGTGTCCAAGTGCAATTACTACAGAATGGAGGGATACAAAAAAAACTTTATAATGCATACCGCAAGGACCTTCTGCAGTGGTTCTGAGAGCTCTGATTGGTAGGAGAATAGTATTTCATTTTAGGTTTCCCACATTTAGACAGAACTACAACATCGTTCTCTGCCTTAGTATAGGACACATAAGTGAATTTGTGCATGAAACATGCAAGAATTATCAGCACTGATTTAAATTAAATCAGCTAGGCTTTCAAGGGGGCAGGGGCTGTTAATTTCGTAGCACAACTAAAATATTACAAGCCAAAATTAACCAGTGTTTTTTCCTCTCCCAAAATTATTTTTCAGTTGCTTTTTCAAATCAGTTCTCACAACTGATTTTCATTTTTTAGGCGTTTTGTCTTGCTTCTGCTTTCTTCTGAAATATGCTTTTCACCAAGAGGATTGACTAGATCTACTTGATGTTAGCTGTGTTAGGCAAAATGGAGTGAAACCCTTGGTCTTGCATTTTATTCCTGTTAATACATCCCTGAATTTTTCGAAAGACATCTATTCAGAGAGGTGTGATAAATTCTGAGAATATACTAATAGATGAAAATTACTGAATAGGTAGCTGATTAGTTACTTCAGTTCTGTTTGCATTTTCATTCTAATGCGTTAGACTGTTAGGTCATCTTAAAAAAGTTGATCTCTACATTCAGAATCAGGTTTGATTTTTACTATTATATTCAGTGAGTATTTTCAGGTAGTTGTACTGTAAGAATTCACTTCTGATTATAAGGCATTTAGAAACAGCTTTGTACAAAGGCTATTTATCTTTGTGGGTAGATGATTGACACATCACGTATCTTACACACAGTCTAAGTTTCATTTAGTAGACATTTCTTGTCTGCTTCCTACTGCATTTAAGAAAAGTATCTGAATTTCTCTGAGAGTACCACAAATTCCTCAAACTAAT